CACGCACCTCCGAGAATGACCAGGGGCACTGAGTATGAAATCGCATTGTCATTTTCAGGAAAAAGCAGGGGCAGGCAGAGGCTTCTCCTTCTCTCAGGCTTGCTTACCTTCCCCTTGCCCTTACCCCTTTGTCTATGTGTGTCCTCTGGAGGATATCACCTGCTTTGGAGTGTCAGCAGGCTAGAGAGATGACCAAGTCAGGTTTTTTTGTGTTCATGGCGGTAAAATGGCCCACATGCGACAGTGATGGAAGGTAATCACAATGAAACTGAACACTCAAGTAGAAAACGGTGTCCGCCCACAGGAACTGCAGTGCACCAACTGCTGCCATGTAGGTTAGTGTGGAGTTGCTGCTGGGGTCAGCCGCTGGCTTCCACGAGCTTGTGATTCAGTAATAACTGGAAGCACAATTGCTTTTTCACTCACTATTTTTTAACGGTTTATTCATAAAGCAATTTTTCACTTTTCACTTATTTTCAGCCCCTTTCACATCTATCTGCTCACAGTTTCTGTCTTGGCTTAACCTTTCCCTCTCTCCTCCCTCTCTCAGTTTAATTTTTCTTTATTCCCTTTTTTAAACTTTGAGCCGTTAAAACAGTCTCGGGGCCTTGATTGCTTTGCTAACTGAAATGTTTCCTTTCAACGTCTTCTTAGGGTCTCTTGACTGGGTCCCCATTCTTTTCTTTAGCTGCCCGTATTTTTGTCCCCCTTTCCTTTTTGTAGCAGCGGGCTTAAATCTTTCTCAGTCATCTTACATGTAGGCCTTTGCTTAAGAAAAAAACGTAAAAGAGAAAGAAGACGAAGGAAAAAAACAAAAACCCACCAAACATCCTAGAATTCATGGTATTTAAGCAGAAGTTCGATTTAAGCATAAGCCATTATGTCCATTAAAAGAATCTTGATTCCTTTCAGATGAGCATATTAATTCCTGGGGAAAGTGCATGGTTCTTACAAATTAGCAGGACCTTTGCAAGCCCACTCGCTTTTGCCAAAAGAAGCCACAATAGTTGTTTCCATGCAGACTTGCCCCTCATTTTCCTTTTCTCCGACATCTGCTCTCTAAGTTACAAATATCTGCCTATAGCAACAACCGGAGTTCCAAGGAAAACAAATCAAAAGGAAATAAGAGAAAACAGTGGAATCTGAACATATTAGGAGATGTAAGAGCATCTTCCAAAGAACAGGAAGACAACCCAGGAATGACTCCTTCCTTTTAAGGACCAGGAAACTGTGGCCCAGCGAGGTTCCAGGACTTTCTTGAGAGCACGTGTTTAACCAGGGGCTGAATCAGGACTAGAACCAAGCTCCCTAAACTCCTGATACGCTGCTTTTCCCCTGAGGGTAGGAGCTCATCAACTCAGTTCCCACCTTGGGTATATTTTTAAACTCTGGCCCTGAGAGCCATGGAAGAAAGAGTAAGTGACCCCATTAATGATCCACAGTTGGTTGATCTCACAGCAAATCACTATCAGGTCGCTTGTACTAAAAACTGGAGAGGCAAGATAGGGTCATGTGGAAGGGGACTGGGGTGTGTCTCACTTCCTTTGCCTGTGGATGGGAAACAGTACTCAAGGGAAGTAGTGCTGGTGAGAGGAGAGAAGGCAGAGATGGTCCCTTCTCTTCTTAAGTGATACCTGTGCTGAAAGGCTGCTAGCCCGGAGGTTTTTTTACAGAGTGCCACACGTAATGCAGGTGACAGTGGCACCATGCCTCATTTTCAATTTCAGACCCTTCCAGAAGTCCTGGGAATTCAAACATTGAATATCTCTTAAAATATTTCACAGAATATACAGCATAATTCATTTCATGATATCATAGACTCTTCCTCAGAATCAGACGGGCTCTCCAGATCTGCCTAAATCCATAGCATTTCCAAGGAGGCCTCAGGAACATTAAAGAACATGAAACATTAAAGACCTAGGAAAAGCTTGCCAGAGCATCTTGTTCATCCTGTGCTTTCAAACACACTGATTCCTCTCTAAGCCCTGCAAGGATGGGGACTACTCCCTCCCATGGGAACGAATCCATTGTGTTACAAACCCTAAATGTGGGCGTTTGTCTAGGTGACTGAAACCAAAGTCCCCTCTGCAACGCTTTAATTTCATTTCCTTTGCTCTGTTCCTCACCCACAATGGGGAAGAGCTGGTTGCCATCACCCACAGGTGAATCTTTAAGACACCTGAAGTCGGAGAACTTGGCCACAATTCCATAAGAACTCCCTTTGTTAACATATTGAAGAATTTCTTACCAAATTAGCCATTGCTATTCACCTGTCACTTCTCCTTTCTTTTATGATGGGGGTAGGGGAAACCACAAGATGACTACGTTCATGTTTATGCTGAATAAAACCTATTGAAAATTCAGAGAGAAGGAAAAGTGCACACAGCCAACCCCGGTTCATTACTTGCCAAACCAGGAAGGAAGAGCAAACTAGGAGAGGGCTTGTTCGTTTACAGGACGCTGTAAAACTGGGAAAGGGAGAGTGACTATTTGCATAAATTCAGTTAAAAATAACTTTTTGGAATCTTGCTGCATTTTTGCCTGAATTACACGATTAAGAACGTATTGAGATTAAAATCACTTTTCACTTATTTAAAGAGCAGCTGTCAGCAGCACTTTGAGCAAATGAACTTGGGTTCTGAGGACTTGAAGCTTGAAAAATGATGTTAGGGAAGCTTATCCACCGATCCTGAAACATTTCTTGTAGCCACTACATACCCAGAAGTAGATTTGGTGGCCACTGCTCATAACGATCTGATTTCTTCTGGCCAGAAGCTGCAAATGAAATGACATGTTATGGACAAAGAACTCCATGATCTCTGAAAGGAAATAGAAGTGCCTTCTGGACTGGTTCAATGATCACATTCTATTTAACTCTTCTGTTCATCAATTCTTTCAGTTGCTGCCTTCTGTGGTACAGCCTTCCTTTCTAGACTGGATTATCCTGGAGGCCTGGTTTTGCATTAGACATTCTCTGCCATGTGCCTGTAATTACTTTCATTCCTCTGTTCTGACCTTTTCTCATTATCTCCTTTTAGAGAAGGCCTCTCTCTCTCTCTCTCTCTCACACACACACACACACACACACACACACACACACACACACAGAGGAATGAGCTCGTTTATACCAACTTATGGGTCCTGAATTGATTTCGTTTCCCCCAAGGAAAAAATATCTGGAAATGTGCCTGTAGACTCCCATGGTGCTGTATATTCTGTATATTGCCTTATGGTAGGGAATTAAATGCATCATTTCTGCACAGAGTTTTTATTTTGCTAAAGGTAAACTCAGAAAAAGGTGACTTCTTCAGTCTTACTTTGTCTTACAAACAGCTGGATGAAGTCTTGATTCAACACTACGGACTTTGGCTGGGTGCACTTGGTCTCATTAGTGAATATTACCTTTTTATGAAATGTTTCATTAAACAGCTAAGTCCACAAGTGTTCCCAAGATATATAACTCTCAAGAAAAAAAGAAATGATTTGCCAAGTAAAGAACTATGATTTATGGTAGTTAGCTGTTACACTCAGGATCTTATTGGGCTTTGTTTTGAAAAATTATTACCACAATGGTTCTGTAGAATTTAGGAGTATAACCAGCACCATTTGGCACGTTTATGACAATAGGGTTCTGGTTTTCTTAACTCCACAGTTACATGTTGGCAGCATTTCAAATTCTTGGCACAGATGTTTAAGTGAATTTAAAGAAGAAACATTAAAAACAAAACATCAGGCAGTTTGAGTGTCCAAATGTAAGCAGAAGCATTATTTTCTTAACATGAAGTCAGCATGCGCATAAAACCATCAATTTGCTAATAGATGAAATGGGAAGCATGAAAACCACTTGCAAAGGGCTTTTAGATTTTCTTTTCACTGAATGCAGTATCACTTTTCTAGAAGCATCTACTTACATCTATCAAATGAGACCCAAATTTATGTGAGCCTTTTCTCTGGAGACAGGTTAGTTTCTGGAGCATGAATGACTAAGCACGCAGACTTGTTCTCATCACGCGGGGCCACAGGGCCATACCACCGAGATCCCTGGCTCTCACACTAACAATGCTCAGATTCTGGGAAAGTAGCTTTCTGGAAACTTGTTCTAAATGCACAAGTAGGCCAGGTGCAGTGGCTCATGCACGTAATACCAGCAATTTGGGAGGCCGAAGCAGGAGGATTGCTTAAGTCCAGGAGTTGGAGACCAACCTGGGCAACGTAGTGAGACTGTCTCTACAACAAACAAAATTAGCTGGGCCTGGGGGCGCGCATCTGTAGTCCCAGTTACTCGGAGGATGAGGTAGGAGGATGGCTTAAGCCTGGGAGATAAAGGCCGTAGTGAGACATCATCATTCCCCCTGCACTCCAGCCTGGGTGGCAGAGCAAAACCTTGTCTCGAAAAAAAAAAAGGCCAAGTGGCAAATAGCAAATGTACTTACATGTCTTACATGTGAAGGAGTAAACATGGGCTATAGGGCACTCCCCATGGCCTGCCCAGAGGAAGCTACTGAAGCTGCTGTCATCAATGGGCAGTGTTCCCCGACCCAGCTTCCCAGGGCCCCACACCCGTAAGTGGGTTGAGTCTCCACACACGCACACAGACTGGCACAAGCTAGCAGGGCCTTTCTGGAAGTGATCCAAGTCCTCCTTATCTCCTCACCACTCCATGTTCATTGAGAAAATAAAATGTAAAAGTTCACAAAGCAAACAAATCGTCTCCCACTTACTGGCTGATGCTTGAAATGCCTCCTTTAGGGAACATCTTTATAGTTCATGAAGAAAAATCTTAGTTACGAGAGACCGATCGATGCTGTCAGATCGCGCAGATAGATACTCCTGGAAGGAGCTGGGGGAGATCAGGGCATCCCAGAGGGTGCTGCTGAAGCAGAACCGGGGTGGGTGCAAGGGAGAGGCAAATTGTATTGTGTTCAAAATCTGGTCTGGTGCCATCTGTACAGTATGCAGATGTCGCTCACTGACCCTTCACTCAAGACACTAGACAAAGATTGGTAAAGCATGAACATTTATATTTAATTTACATTTTGACAATTTGCACATAAATAACATTGTAAACCAGTATGTAAACATAAGAGAGTTTGTTGTTCTAGCAAAGTAAAAAGCCAAACTTTGGTCAGTTTTAACTTTGAGTAGAGGAAAAAAACAAAACCACCATTGATTGTGGGCTCAACATTCACATGTAAGAGGCAGAAAAAAGAAGGATGAATGGTGAGAGAAGCCGGAAGTCTTTATAAAAATTCTCACTATGGGAAAGCACAAAAGGAGACAAAGAACAAACGAGTAGTTGGGAATCAAAAGTGTTTGGTCTAATGTCAATGAGATCCTTTGGTTTACCTTCAATTAAGGACTGTGTTTAATCAAACACTGATACATAAAAAAACTGTCAGTCTTGCTAGTTACAGAAGACCAGTAAGGCTCTTGGGTTTCCCTGGATTATTCGAAATTTGTTCTCTTCTGCAGGTGAACATTAGTTGATGTGAACAAAATGTCAAATACAATTATAAAATAGATTGAAGAGTGATGTATCAGTATTTCGTAAGGAGGGAAAGAGAAAAGTTACAGTGGTAAAGTCAGTTTATTATTTCTGTGACTTGGGTGTGACCACATAATCATAAGGTGGCAAAAAAAAAAAAAAAAAAAAAGCCGTCTTAGAGGGTCCTTAATACTAAAAACTGATGTATCTCTTCCTCCCTGGTTGTTTTGCGGCCCCCACCACTGCACCAAGGTTTTAGGGTCTCTTACAGTAGGCAAGGGGTGCCCAAGCATACTGATGTGATCGTGAGGCCACCAACTATTAAGCAAAGTCTCAGAAACGATTTTTCTTTTTTTTGCCCTTAGAAAAAGTAGATCTTTTACATGGCTTGGCTCACAATTTAAGTGGTTATAAATATATATACATATGATATAGTGGTATAAATAGATTTATAAATATACATCATTTTTTGCTACACTTTGAACACCAACATGTAATCTTTGGGCTTAGCAGAATAAAAGATAGAATGACACAAAGTCTATCTTGCTGGAGCACATTTACTTGGTTTCTCCTCTAGAGAAGCAAATCATTAGATAAGACATCATTTCCTGCATTACTGGACACACTCAATGAGGTAACTGTTGTTGAACAACTTTGCAATGCCCTTTCATCTTCCATTAAATTAACCATAAAATGTAAAAACACAAATACTGAGGAAAATCTGAGTTTTACAGAAAAAAATACAATTGATGTGTTGGGGATAGGAATGTTCATTACCCGCTTTTACCCCAAGATGACTAGAATACCCGTTTTTTGTTGTGTGTTTGCTTTTCTACCGCAAATCCTTCCTGGTAGAGCACCATGTCTGTGCAATTTTGAAATTAAAAAAAAAAAAAAAAAAGCAACAAAAACCAACAACAGAACACCACCCAGACTCAAGTCCCAAACCTCACACATACAAAGCCACCTATGCTTTGGGGAAAATTTTGCAGTGGTTTTAAAACATGGCAATTTGTCTTTTTCACATTTTCTGATAATACAATGGATGTAAAAGTCATATGGCTGCTCTGAATGGCCATAGGACTCGGGGGGTGGGCAGGGCGGTGGGAGGATTCTGCTCTTTTGGAGAGAGAGACAGGTTGGTAAAGCCTTCCCGTCACCCTTCTGGTAAAATTGTGGCTGGGGGAAAAACATGAACTATCAACAAAAATAGACAAGATTCCCTTTCTTGTTTCTTCTACTTAAGTTATTCTTGGGTAATTCTGCACACATACCCTCAAGTTATGGACAATGCTGTTCAAATGATAGGATCCCAGGAATGAACACATCAACTGTCTAACATTGGCAATTACCCAAACCTCATTTTCAAACCATTATTAGAGAGAGAGGTTGACTGAAGTCATATATTTGTTTAACTAAATCTTAGGTACTTATACAGATGTGCAGAAATTATCTACAAAGAATGGCCACAAGACAAAAATACATTTATACTCAAATTACAAGGAATCTTTCCAGTCATTGTAAACTTTTTTAATTATTGCTTTCTGAATGATAAATTGTGTAATAAATTATGAAGTATTATCATTGAAAAAATAATTATGACTAGGCAATAGTCTTAGTAATGGAAGGCTATGCAAACGTATCCACACAAATATTCAAAATACACAGGGGCAAATATATAGACACAGGCGTAAATAAGTATACATAATGTGTGTGTGTGTGTGTGTGTATATATATATATATATATATATATGGCCTTTGCCTTGTTCATGCCCTGAGATTTCAGTAACTTTGGAGTTCCTTCTTTAATTCCAGGGGTGAGGGGAAACCATTTGCTGTTGAGAGAGCTTTGCAGAGCTGGAATTATGTACAAGCAACTTCCTATAGGCACCCTGACTCACCAAGTCATAACTTAAGAAACAAAACAAGTGTTTTCTGAAAATCTTAAGGATCCATTGGTTCGACTGTTTCTTGTTTGACCTTTACAGGTACCAGAGGTAGTGGGTTGCTGGGAGGCAACTTCATGAGGGGTAGATCTGATGACTCATAAAGGCTGCACCCTGAGGAGAGGAGTCCATTCCCCATGTTTCTTTGCAAAGACACTTTCAGGCCAGTTTCTTCTTTCTCTTTTCTGACCACGGCCAGAATTTCCTTCTCCACTACAGAGATCACACTAATGTCATCCTCCACGTCCTCGAGCCGGTCAGCATTGTCGCTGATGTCAAACTTCTCGATTTCTTCATTGATTCGGGTCAGATCTTCCAAGGGCAGCCCGGGCGCCGGGGCCGCAGCGCAGTTCCCTTTCAGGTGAACCTTGAGGCTACAGAGATGGATGTAGTTCTTGTGGCACTGGGAGCACTTGTGGGGCCGCTCTCGAGTGTGCAGACGCTTGTGCAGTTTCAGGTGCACAAACTGGGTGAACTTGGCAGGGCACACCTTGCATTGGTACGGTTTCTCTCCAGAATGGAGTCGCAGGTGGGTCTTGAGATTGCTGGTGCTGCTAAATCGCTTGTGGCAGACCTACAGTGTAGGGGAGAGAGACAGTAGGGAAGGGAGAGAGGAAGGCCAGAAGATTAAGAGCTGCCAATTGGAGGGGCAGGCTTACAGGCCAACGCCCAGCAACCTGGGAGGTGAGAAGCCTCCTTGTGGCACCTCCAGTGTGGTATTAAGCAAACAGGGGGATGTGGGCACACGGCACACGAGTGGCTGTTTATTTCCCCTACCATTTTCCCACCCACTGGAAGCTGGCTGTGTCATCTCAGGTCATCAGCAGATACAGAGCACTGGGGAGGCCCATAGTGCCATCAGCCCGGGACAAGGCAGAATCTGGAGTTGGCTTTAACTACGGGCTATATAGGACATGGGAGGGTGACTCACAGACATTTTCTACAAAGGTCAGAAGGTCTACCCAGAAAATACTGCGCACCTGGCATTCATGTGGCTTTTCTCCCGTGTGTACCAGGTAGTGTTTCTGTAGGTGGGCGAGCTGAGTAAAGCCCTTGTTGCAAGTCTGACATTTGAAAGGCCGTTCTCCACTGTGCACTCTCAGGTGGACCTGGGAAGAAGCCACATGTGTTAGCTCTGCTCTCAAGCTGGCTCTGAGACCTAACATTTCTGCTCAAAGACTCAAGTGTTGATGATGCAAATATCTTAAGAAAAGCATCAAGACAGTCTCAAAAAGAAAAAATCTTCATGTTTTCAGAATGGTGCTTTTCTTAAACTAAAAGCACAAAAATCACAGGCTAGCAGGGTTTCACCTAATCTTCTAGTCAAACCCCTAATGTTTTTATTATTCAGAAGCAAATCAGGAGAAGGGAAGTCACTTGTCCAAAGTGAAAGAGCTAGAAGTGGCAAAAGCCAGGCAGAATCCATACCCACTATTCCCAACCTGGGGCTCATACGACTGCAAATGCAATCGATACCCCGTGGAAAGCAAGCTAAACACAAACACAAGCATGCACTCACAGCCCCTCCGACTGCTCTCTCTCAAGGCCTACCTTCAGATTGGAGAGCTGGCCGAAAGTCTTGGCGCAAACGTTGCATTCGTACTTGATCTTGCCGTTCTGCTTCTTCAGCGGGTAGGGAAGGGTCTTGTAGCCGGTCATGTTTCTTTTGTTTTTAATGAGATTCATGGCTTCGTCGCTGCTGGGGGCTGCCATAGCTGCTGAGGTAGCTTTGGGCTGCACCACATGTTCTGCCGTGGCGGCTGTTCCCGCCGTGGGAGACCCGCTTGTGGGGCTACAGGCCTTGTCCTTCATGCTGGCGGCGGCCCCGGTAAGGGAGAAGGCACTGTGGGGCGCCGGGACAAGCACCTCCCTGGGATGCTCCGGCTGGAGCAACCTCCGGGCTCCATCTGAAGGTAGCGAGCTCGGGAGAGAAGTGGGGTTGAGCATGGGGTGGGGCAGGCTGCCCCCACCGAGGAGATTGCTGTAGACAGGGCACAGCCTCGGGAAGAGGCCGAAGTTGTTGATGCCATTCATGCTGCTCACAGCGCTCAGGCCATTACAATTCATGCCGTAGGGGGGCAGGAGGAACTTGGGGTAGTGAGCATTGTAGGAGGGGATGAAAGCTGGCGGGAGGTGGGGCAGGGGTGCGTAGCCGGGGTAGGAGCCCAAACCTTCCGTGCCGTAGGGCGCGTTCAAGTAAGCGTAGGAGTCCCGGTGCTCTTGAGAGCCGGGGCCCACAGGGGACACCGTATTCCCGGGGCTGCTGTGAGGGCTAGAGCTCTTGAGGCTTTGGTCCGGGCTGCTTCTTGCAGAGGGGCTTGGAGTGGTGGAGGACGGAATGGGGGAGCGAGTGATGTACGTGGGTCTCTCCATCCCGTAGGCCAGGGAAGCTTTCAAAAAGTCTTCCGGCAGAGGGGCCCGGATAGGGTAAACGACCCGAGGGTAGAAGGGCATTTCGGGGCTCCCATGTCTTCTAAAGTCATCGAGGTCCTTTTCTGACGTGAGTGGTGAAATGTTCGAACGGTAGAGGTCCTTTCCTTTGGAGGGGTTGGAGTCCAGTTTTAGGATTTCTTTGACGCTGTGCTCTCTCTTTGGGACATTCTTTGGGCAGAGTTCATTTTTCTCAGTGCTCGGCTGCTTGAGACTGCTCTGTGTTTGTGCTGAAGTAAAGAAAACGGGGCGATTACACAGCGGGCTAGAGAGAACTGAAACAAAATTGCCAAAGTTGCTCCTCCTTCTCGAGAAAACCTGAGTACCAGCTAGCGACACAATCGCCACATATCTGGCTTCCAACGCGCTCTCATTCTAGAGGGCTCTGGGCCACTCACTCAAAAGTGCAGTTCCATTTCCTCCTCAGCAAAATGGGGACAATGGCAGCACGGACAGAACAAACAGCAGCCTTGGGTAATTCTGTTTTCATTAGTACAGACCTTATGATAGAAAATTGCTGTTTAAGCTGGAGTAAAATAGCCTATGCCAGATGCGGTGGCTCACGCCTGTAATCCCAGCACTTTGGGAGGCCGAGGCAGGCGGATCACCTGAGGTCGGAAGTTCGAGACTCGACTGACCAACATGGAGAAACCCCGTCTCTACTAAAAATACAAAATTAGCTGGGCGCGGTGGTGCACGCCTGTAATCCCAGCTACTTAGGAGGCTGAGGCAGAAGAATCGCTTGAACCCAGGAGGCGGAGGTTGTGGTGAGCCAAGATCGTGCCATTGCACTCTAGACTGGGCAACAAGAGTGAGAAACTCTGTCTAAAAAAAAAAAAAAAAAAAAGATAGCTTCCATTTTAATGGAGTGGAAAAATACTGGGGTGGGGACCCTGTCATAGGTTAATAAAAGTCTTTCTGATGTTCATGGTTTACCTAAAGGAAATCAGCACACCCTGAGAACTAAATGTGAAAGATTAAGACTCATTTCAAGTAATACACAGTCATCAATTTTCACCTCTACTCTTGTTGAATACGAATTTGATAAAGCCCTGTTCAAACTGCCTATGCCAAGGAGCTTAGCGAAGTGAATGCCAACCTTCCTCGCAATGTGCAGACAGCATTTCACCAAGGCTCGGTCTGGTCTAGCCAGGATTCCAGCAGTGCTGGCCCCTGGAGTCACAAGGCGTGACAGTCACCTCTGCCAAACCACAATAGGTACTTCCTGAGCCAGTTCAATTACTTAGCGCACCCAAGAAAACAGAACAGGCTAAGAGGAAAGCACTTATTCCCAAAGACGGCACGTTATTACTTGGTAAAGATACTATTTAGGAACAGCAGCAATGAGGACAGTTCTAGACCTTCCCTGCCACAGCCAGCCTTGTGTCCTCGCCACACAACAAATGATGCCTTCAGGAAAACACCCATCTGAGCAGGGAAAACTGAAAATTCCCTGCTCAGCCTTGCCTGGAAACCAAAAGTAAAACATATGATGTTTAGTTTGAGCTCTGATTATTGGAGGACAGTCACTCAAGTCAGGACACCTGCCCTAGGAACGCACCAAAGGCATCAGCCGTTGTCGATGTGTGGAGATGCCTTCAGAGGCAGCAAGTCTGGGGGATTGCGCTGAAGCCTTTGTGCAAATATCCTTCATCGTCTGAAAAATGTCCCTGCTTGATTAGTTGAGAAAGAACTCCAGGCTTGCTATCTGATAGGTCTAGAAATGAACTCTGTGAAACTCCAGAACTGAACCCTTCAAATGTATTCTCTAGGCTGACTGGCTTGAGGGATTCCAATTTGAGAGCCCCTTAGAGAATGTTATCTCCTGCCAGCTGTTATCAGTTCCTCCTGGGCGAGCCTGAAGCCCCAGAATAAACACAGAGAACACTGCTATCAGGGAAGATGCTGATGGGGGGCCGAGATGGAAAGCTTGCTGAGGGAGAGGGATTTCTGAAGCCACTAAACTAAAATAAATATCTCCTTATCAGGCCAATATCGGTCTTTCAGTGAGGCCCAGCAGGCAGGAAGTTCTAATTGTCACTTTTGTTTTTTAAAGCTAAAATGGTAAAGGATGAGAAAGACAACTAAGCTTGAAAACTGATACGCAAGGCATCTCACAGCCACAGGAAGGAATTTTATGAAGGTGAAAAAGAATGATTTGGAAACATCTATATAGGGTCAAATTCATAATGATTTTTAAAAACGATGCCACTCGAATAAAATGAAAATACAAAAAACTTTATCCTCATGACTTTGAGCCATTTTTAGGTGGCAAATTATGTATCTAAGTTTCATATTTTTTCCAGTGGCTTTCATACTCCCTTGGTTCTATAATTTAACAAATAATAAGCATAAATTTGCAATAAGCATCAAGTTTCAGTCCATTCGTGGCAGTGCCCCTCACATTTAGCCAGGCGTTCTTCTTAAGCACCTTACTATAATTTGAATATTGAACTGATAGGAAACTTACGATTGGGCCAACAAAAAAGTCAGAATTTTAAACTTTCTATGCAAAATGCTTAGCCCAGTGCCCAGTATATAGTAAACTCACAATAAATATTTGCTATCTCTAATGCCTTCGGAAAAATAGATTGCATCTTATTCTAAAAGAACATCCAGAGTGACATGTTAGCCTCCCTAAGATGCTCTACAGGTGGAAATTAGGAAGTCCATATACAGTAAAGGTGCATTTTAAAAAATCATCCTTCAGCAGCTGAGTAATCAGTGGAGCTGGTGTCATTTCTGACTCTCCCACTCAGCAGCAGCTTGAGTTAACATGAAAAAGAAAATCAAGATCTGTTTTTGTTCTGAAATCTTAAATGGCTGTAGGCGGACGGAGTCATTTCAAGAGTGAACTGCTTCTGAAGACTCCGAATGGCTTAATTATGCCGACTCACATTTTCGATCTATAATAAGAACCCCAAGACTATAAGAAAGAACCTAGAAGTTCTGCAGTAGGCAAAACAAAGTCTCTTTTAACTGAAACTGAGAAAGCAGATGAACATTTAGAAGTCTATAATTTGGTCAACTGTTTTCTAGATGGGTTAGTTAGATAGACAGAAAAAAAATACCCCCCCCCAATTTGGGAGGGGTAGGGGTTTCAAACTTATTAGTTCTTTTATTCCTTTTCCTTTGTTTTTAGAAAAATGCCAGTTTGTGATTTCTGGCTACTTGCTTTTCTTTTCTTTGGTTTGTTGCAAATCCCTTCTTCTCCAAACTCTACCGCCTGAACCATCACTGCCATTTAAGCCCTCATGGAGATTCTTGCACCACCTCTATTGTGCTTTAAGCACAGAAACCAACACAATTCATTTGGAGACACAATCTACCTATTAGGCCTGATGAAATAGTGGAAATTTTCCTGATCACAGTCTCAATCATCAGCTGCCACGCCTAAGACAACTGGTTTCACAATTGGCAGCAGGAATCTTGTTTTAATGTGACTGGTTATTGTTAACTCTCATTCTTTACTATGAATATTGGACAATGAAATGTGCTTGAAAATGCTAAACCACCATTTAGAAAAAATTCTGCCACAATAAAAGGGGACATACTGCATAAATAAAAAGGGATAAATAAAAGGTGTCATTTCACAGTATATATGAGAGTTGCTTCTGAACACAAAGGAGAAGCACTTGAACCTTAAAATACTGTGCAAAGTCTTTCCTTGAGGAATAAAAATGCCAGGCCTTTAAACCCTTCCCTTGATTGGCACAGGGTGCGGGAAACATGCAAAAAAGTTTCTTGGTGGTTGGTGCAAAGTCACTGGGGTAGGTAACCTCAAATGAACTGTTTAAAGAAAAGCAAAAATCAAAAGACTTTCCTCTGAATCCATGAATGATTAAACTCAAGGAATGTAGGGAGACTCTTAAGAGGAAGTGGTTCACTATGTTAAGAAAGCCAGGAGGGAGCTGTGCGCTTCTCCTGAGATGCCCAGCTGGAAAATGAGCTCCCCAAAAATGCTGCTGTGCCTGTGTCTTTTGTTACTAGGTCCTCAGCACTGGGCCTGGCACACACAGATGCCAAAACAACCGAACGGCTCCTGGGAGGTTCAGCCCCAGGGATATGACAGAGTGTCCAGAGTCTCAGGGAGTGCTGAAGAGAGATGAGGGAAAAGAACTGCCACCTTTTTGGTCAGTACCTGATTAGACCCATCAAGCTGGAACTGGGGAACTGCGAGCCAGTTCTTTTCCTGAAGCTCAAGGGTAACCTGTTGTGTAAGGACCCCAAACACATGTCTTAAAACGGGATCCTACGGGGGAGGTCCTGGTGCTTTTATAGCCCCAGATTTTCAGAAAACTGCGAACACAATCTTAAGGGAGATCAAGTAAAATGAAGTGTGGACTGAATACCAAATAACCATACAGCTGGATTATATATGACTAGGGTAAGTACTTGGTTTGCTCGTTGGTCCTAAAATCAAAGTCAAAATTCCAATTTATGTTAACATTGACATTTATTCCAAATGTCTCAAAGGTGAAAATGAGAACTAAAACAATTTAGCCTTCCGATAAAGCAAACGGACAGTATATCAATAATTGGTAAACCTGGGTAAAGGTAACTGGAAATTCTTTGTCTTTTTCTCAAAATGTTTTCTTAAGTTTGAAATGATATCAAAACAAAAAGTTATAAAAACTTCAGCATCTAGTCTTAACTTCTAAACCAAAAGGAACTAATTTTTAAAACTGCTAATAAGACTTAGTGGTCTAACCAACAACACACACGCATAGTTACAGCAGAGGTTAGAATCTTACGACAATTCTTCAATTGCTCACAGAGACCACTTGAGAATGACTAAAATGATGTAGCCCTCTGCAGAGAGAGGTCATGACAGCAATTTTAACCCAATAAAAGAAGTAAAAGCCTAGAAACCTCAGGAATTGAGAATTTGTTAAGATAAGGTGATAGGTGGCTACTATAATACTGATCAAGAGATCAGATAGTTTTTTACTGTAAGGAAGGAAGCTAAGATATAAAATCTTTACGGTTATTCACTTAGAATAATACTGAAAAATTATGACGAAGTTTTTCTAGCAATGATCTTACAATGTTCCACATCAGATCCTAACTGTACATTCAAATGTACATCTATAAATGTTCTGATGTAGTCTAAGTCCTGACAAACTACCACAGATGAGGGCTATACCTTGCATACGCAGCATGTCTGGACCAATCCCTGCAATTCTCCCAGCTGCTTTTGGATAAATTAGAATTGGACATGTATTTCTTCCTGTAACATTCTGAATTCAAAACTCAAGGTAGCTCTACATATATATATATATATTTGTTTAATGATCAAGTTTCATAATAGTTAACAGGGACTCAAAAAATGTTTTTCCTCTTCCTAGTCCCTAGCTTAAGCCACCTATTTCATCCAACACATGACCAAGCAGTGTAATTAAACAACATGTTATTAGTTCACAGGGGCAGAACTGACATTACTGGCATTTTTAATTTTTTTTCATCTGTAATCCACTTACTGAGATTCATCATTGTCAGCTCTCCGGGATAAGGGTAGTGAAGCCTTTCTGCAAAGTCCCGACAATACCACACAAGAAGTTCCTGGTTGGCAGGGATGGGCTTAATGGTGTAGAAGTAGATGTTCATCCCGTTCTGACACGCAGCCAGGTTTTGCTCCCGGGGAGAGTGCGCTGGATTCACATAGCGCATCCAGTTGCTTTTCTCTTCATTAAAGCCATCAATGAAGTGGTGAAGCTCCCCTCTGGAATAGATCTGTCCGAAAGAGAAGACAGGCATGTAAAAGGAAGTCAACCCCAAAGCTCCCCAGCACCTCTCAGAATAAACACAGCCGGTACCGTGTGTGATTTCTGATCCCCTACTGCCTAGTTAGAAAAAGAATCAAATCAGTTTAGCCAGAATCGTCTTGAATCAGCAGAAATCAGGACGGAAACAGGTAAGGCACACTTTGTCAGTTACCTTTTCCATTTCAGTTTTATCGTCTTTTCATGTTCGGGAAAATAACAGAAAAATGAAACACAAATGTTCATTTAAGGAGCTGCCTCAAACCGATTAACCCACCACAGAGTACTACTTTTGCTATTGCAGTGAATGGCAAATGGGCGATGCTACTGACTTCAGTTCCGATTATGCTGACTTTTAGTGCTTTGAGTCACTGGGTAGAAGACCAAGCCGGCTGACGACGTCAAACTGAGTCTCAGCTTTTTCTATGGCCTCTGTACTCGCCGTTTCCTACACCCCCGCCCAAGGCTTCAACTATGCAAACATCCTCCACCCCCAACCCTCCAAGTCCTAAAGTAACACTTGTTCATATGAATACTTGGAACCTTGCCTTTTTGTGGAAACACTGGGTGGGGCAAAGGTGAACTTCACCTGCCATAACAAAGTGAATACTGGGGCAGCAGCCAGAATCTGACAGTCTATTACTGAGAAGTCACTTTTCCTCTTGATAAACATGTCCAGACTTGCACTTTCCTTTTAATTCAAACGAGGGAAGAGGGAACCCCTTATCTGGGAGGAGGCTGGCTAAAACACCACACACAGAGCCATAGGCATGTGTTTTTGGAAAAAGAACAGGAAGAAAGTATGTTGTTCCTTAAAGGCAACGCAGAATTAAGAATTTGAAGTTTGTCCTAGAGTAATACTACTTCTGGTTAACAGATGCACTCACGATACTTGGCAAAGAGGCAGAGGAAGAAGAAAAATTAAAATGTACACTCTTACTGAAACTATCAACACACTCCTTATCCTTCCACACAGACTTTTTTCTCTCTCCCTCTTTTTAGGAGGTACCACCTTTACTTTAGACTTTAAGAAATGCCCTTATACATATACAATCAGTCAATACCTAGTGTGATCTGCGACTTGCAGTCTCCAAGCAGTAGTAAGGCACTGTTCGTAGCAGGAATTTTGCGCTCACCGGACAGCAGGTTATTGCTTTTCCTTACTCACGTACCGACTGTGCTAGTCTACAGATAGTTTCTGTATTTCGTTCAAACGTTATCAGAAATAAAAAGGAACTCTGTCCCTTTAACACAGGCGGTAAACACCAGAATCACTTTCTTTTAAGAGTAACTTCCTGTAAATTGTGAAGGGGGAAATACATGTGGCTTCATCAAAGCAGCTTGTGAGAGCTTTTGCGGTGTGTTTTGTTAAGAGAAAATGGAACAAGGCTGGGTGAATTCTGCTATCAAGAGGGGTTTTCAAGTTTGTTTACTCTGATGTGCAAACTTCCAGGAACATGGGGTTCCATCGCTCTTGCACTCTTCGCTGGGGCGGAAACTGCTTTCTAAAGCTACGGGTATGTTGATTCCAGTTAGCCTTCCTCGGACTGCAATTTACTGTATCCTCATTTAAAAACAGCAATGTCGATGCCGTGAAGCCACTCACACACAATAAAATACAATAAGGCATACGTAAAATGAACACCGTTTCCTACCACCTTCCTGAACTTCCATATATTATCTAGTAGATTAAAATGTGCTGATTCATAGTACAGTTACAAGAAATGTCACTGGTTTCTCAACTTGAACATCCCTTCTTTGGCTGTGTAATTTGCATGAAACTTTTTCTTTCCTCACAACAGATGTTCATATTCCTGCCAGCAAAACCGGGATGTTCTACAATATCCTTTGCATGTGAAAGACTGATTCAAATAAATCCTCCCAAGGAAAGCCTTTCAGTTACTTATAGTGAATCTTTAAATGAAACAGGGAACTGGACAGTGAGGGGAGATTTTTAGGTGTTTCTTGCCTTTTCTCAAAATAATCATACATTAATGAGACTTATGCTGGATTGTCTTAATTCAGACCTTTAACTCCAAGAACTATGCACCTTTATGGCTCACTTCTGAGAAGACTTTATTGACAATAAAGGCAAAAATGCACTCATGGTTCCACCATTATAAGTCAGGTGATTAATGTATTTTAAGCAGGAATAATTATTAAATAAAAATTGCGAGCACATGATTCTTAGTGAATATGTAACTACCCTCTTTTGCTTGGGAGATAGTAAGATACATTTCTAAAAATGCAAAACTTCCTGGATTAAGAATATTGTTTCTTAGGAATAGCTTCTTGCCCGAACGATAATTGTTCTAGGCAAAAATACCAGCTAAAGCAAGCATAGCAATTTTGGTTATCATGCAGCTGTTTCTTTTTAAAGAATTCAAATAATGTACATTTCATGTAAGTATGCACAAAAACGCTTACTAAATTTAAATAACCATATCTTTATCTTCTGAGGAAACGAAATATCCCTGAGACATCTATGAGAAGAAGGAAAGCAATCTGTCTTTTTTCTGTTCACTGCTAATCTAGTCTTTTATTCAAGGATTCCATCTAATTAGTTCACCTCTGGGGGCCTTTCTAACCCTAATATAGCAAAGGAAATTGTACTGGCTAGATCTTTTGGTTGGATTCTATAGGAAAGCTCATCATCTTGCATGACTGTTAAGCATTTTCCTTATGCTATGAGATAATTAACCTATTGTCAAATGGAATCGTTTACAGTGCACATGTATTTAAATAGGACTAGTTCTGTGGTCCTCCATTCCCCTCAACCCATCTTCCAGCTATCCTTTCTTAATGGCATTTACTTTTAAGGTAATTCATTTGTGTCATTCCTGGCTGGGCGTGGTGGCTCCTACCTGTCATTCCAGCACTTTGGGAGGCCAAGGCAGGCGGATCACGAGGTCAAGAGATCGAGACCATCATGGCCAACATGGTGGAACCCCATCTCTATTAAAAATACAAAAATTAACTGGGCATGGTGGCAAGCACCTGTAGTCCCAGCTACTTGGGAGGCTGAGGCAGGATAATCGCTTGAACCCAGGAGGCAGAGGTTGCAGTGAGCCGAGATCGCACCACTGCACTCCAGCCTGGCGACAGAGTGAGATTCCGTCTCAGAAAAAAAAAAAGAAGAAAAAAAAGATAATTCATTTGTGATAACTCTTCCATTCAATTAAAGTCAGCAAGAAATCAAAAAGGGGTGAAATCTAAGGTGTGGTGACTCATTACTACTTCCTTGCAGAGAAATGCAAATGAACCTATCCTTAAAGCAAGCAACAAACTGTTTCTTTTCATTACAAAGCTCTAATGAATTGCAAAAATCAAGATTCACATATAGCCCATATCTCCATCACTAACCACCTACAGGCCAAACATTTAATCGGTTTCATCACATTTGTTCAGAATTCCCTGTGTCCATGGGGATGCCAGATACTTATGGGTGAGCCCCAGCATTTCTCAGCACGGGATGAGAAAGGAGGTGAGCCACCCAGCTCTTTTAGCTCCATTTTTTCCTAACATTTAATGGATCTGAAGAAATTTCCCTTACTTACCCTCCAAAAATATTTCCTGTTGGCGTTCTTGGGAACTGTGTCATTGGTGTAGATTTCACCTATTAGGGGTCCAAAACGTGTGCCCTTTGGTATGTATTCTTTACTCATCACTCCAATAACCTAAACAGGAAAAAACACAGGAAACAATTACTTTAACTGTAAAATGTTAACCAATCTTTCAATTAAATAAATTGGAATGTCAAGTGGTAATACAACTAACAATGATAAAATTTTGATAAGTAGAACAGACATTAATAATGCCTACATAATTAACAAGTTTCACCATAGGAGACCATCTTTTAAAGTCTGAGATCATAAGCAAATACTCAACCAAGCATTAAAACAGTCTAGGGGATTACTGTCTGGTAATAAAGGATCCTTTATTTTTATTATGACTTTTTATACTAGAACAGAGAAGACTGCCATTCTCTTTTAGAATGAGAATAAGACACTACAGAATTAGATGGTCAAGATTAGATCATTTCAGCCTGTTTCTAGTTTCCTATTTCTCATTCTCCCTCAAACCATAAGCATAGTGTGCTTGAGGGGAATAAAATAGTTTTGACCTCAGAAACCAAAATAATGTTCTTTGGTTGTTCCATAACAGCCTAAGGAACCAGAAACCAAATGTATTATGTTTTTTTCATTCCAGATGAGGGGGGTGTGTGTGTGTGTGTGTGTGTGTGTGTGTGTTTTCATAGCTTGTATATTCTCTTTAATAAGAGATCTTTCAAGTAACTTTGTTCTTCTCTGGTCTTCTACTTTGTTCTCAAGTCTTCTACTCAAGAGTGGTCATAGGCCCTCCTGTGTGTGTGTGTTTTAAAGACAAGGTCTCCCTCTGTCACCCAGGCTGGAATGCAGTGACTTGATCTTAGCTCACTGCAGCCTAGACCTCCCAGGATCAAGCGATCCTCCCACCTCAGCCTCCTGAGTAGCTGGGACTACAGGCATGCACCATCACGCCCAGCTAATTTTTGTTGTTGTTGAGAAGGGTGGTCTCACCATGTTGCCCAGCCTTGTCTCAAAACTCCTGGACTCAAGCGATACTCCCACCTCGGCCTCCCAAAGTGCTGAGATTACAGGCTGAGCCACCATGCCTGGCCAAAAGCCCTCCTTTGAAACTGAGTTTATACTGAGGAAAGCTGTAGGTTCTAAGATCTGAGGAAATGACCTCAGACTGGATGCATCACACATTTTAACTTTGTAGGGCCTTGCTAAAGAAACATGTTAACTATACCAGTTCCTCCTTAATAATACATTTCTCTTTGAGAGGGTAAATCACCAACCATGAATCAGGAAGCAATTCGTCACTATTCAATAGAACTCCTCTGCGAGTAGTCCTTTACAACAGTTTGCAGTTACAGTTTTGTTTTGGTTTTTATTCTCTCGCTTTCCTATTTTTATTTTCTTCTCATTCAAGACAGCCTACCAATCACTTGACTGAATTCTTTACTAAAATGGACCAAGGAGGAGGGAGTGGTAATAGATGATAATGTTTATTTTCCAATTTTTATATCCCCAGTAGCTCCTGTGCATTCATGTACCTGAAATGGTAGACTCAAATATGTGACTCCATCAATGCACACGGATTGTTCACAGTGGAATCTACTATTCTGGTTACAATATACACCAGTTCCTCATTAAGTCTCATCAATAATTTAAACCTCTATTTAAATAGATATGGCACACCTACATGCCTGTGACAGACTAGCTTTTCTCATTTAAGTGTCTCATCAGCCAATGATTTTTTTTTTCTGAAACAATTTAGTATTCAATATACAAATCAATGAAGCATACTCAGACTGGAAAGAGAAAAAAAGAAAATTTTCCTACACCTAACACAAGTTGAAACAAGAGTGTTATTTTTGGTCCTTTATGAATTTCTGTCAGAGAGCTGAAAAAAGCAGATGTTCATTTCATCCTCCTCCTCTGCCTTCATTTACATCTATCTGCCCTTTTAATCACCGTTTGTCATTATTGGTATTTGTTGGCAGTAAAACTACTGGGGACAAGAGTATCTCAGAGCAGTCTTGAGATATAAATATATATATCTCTAAAGCTTTAGTAGACTTATTCAGAGGCTCATTGTTTTGGACGTATTATAAAAACTAATTAATTTGGAAAATTCATGGAATTGAATTCTATGACATGCAAATCATTTGATATTCATATTTCAGTGATTATTCCGTAATATTAGAATGACAAACAGGAAAAACAAATCATGCCATTTGTTGGTGAGCCAATAATTAGCAGTTGATATTTTCAACATATCAACTTTACAGCAGTAATTTTAAGAAAGGCACTCAACTGGTTCATCAACTTTGTTTTAAATTATAGTCTCTGACAGATGATGTCTTGGGAGTCACAGCTTGATTACCAACAAGGAGCACTACACTGAGGTCGTGGTTCTTCTTCCAAATTGCCATTCTTTTACAGAATGGGCCTCTAGGTTTTCAGTTATCAATCTTACACACATTTTCTTGTGCCCAAAAAGAAGTCAGCTAGAAAGCATAAGCTACCCAATACCTTTTTGAGCACAATTATGGACTCGTCACTAGTGAGCTATAAAGCAGCACCGGAAGTAGCTCTTGCCATCTCTAACCTTACAAACACAATTCAACAGGCCAGACAGCAGAACAATTAAAAAGAAAAGGCTCTGTGGTGGAAGAGAGGTCTACGATAATCCTCAAACTCCAGACAAATTAAAGAGCTTCAATATTAGGTTATCATTAGGAAAGGGACAGAGCCCTAATATTTTAAATTTCAATTACATACAGTGCTATAGGACACATAGAAACTCACAGCTATAGATAGATACAAAATCATAAAATTTCAAAACTGGAAGGTGCTTACAAACCACCTATATCCATTCTAAGTCTAGCGTTCTAATACACAATAAACATCTTCATCTCAAATGCACGTCTGAGACATTATTCACAGACGCCATAAAAGCTGAAACTCTAAGACTATTGTGCTTGTCCAGGTAACTTTGGAGGGGGAATAGGAATCAGGACTGTTTTTAAAGGGAAGTGAAAAACCAAGTACTAAGTCTCCCTCTGGTCCTAGAAAGATCCAGAATGTGCATCTTAGACTACCCATCTCCCTGACCCATAGTTTGTAACAGTCTGTCTTTGAACCAAGCAAATATTAAGAAGGAACCTGGTGTGTGCCTTAAACTTCATAGTGCTAAAAAGACAAAGAATGTGTTCACCTAACTCAGGAAGGAAACTTCACTGGAACTGACCAGGGTCCTAAAGAATTACTGCTGGGGACGGGCCGTTGTGTGCCTTCTATAAACGAACAGCGAGAGGACACTGGGCTTCAATACCTCCCTGCTTCACCTGCTCCTACAGAAGCTCTTTATGTGCAGGGCAGACCCCTCCACCACTTGAGCAGATTTGTCTCTGTCCGTGGCCTCAGTTACAGAACACGCCCTGCCATCCACAGCTTCCGGACAAAACACAGGGCTTCTTTTTAGTTTTACACAATGAAGGAGATTTTACAGTTTAGGATGGGTTGAGTTGCAGTGCTTAATGGAAGTCTGATAACAAGAACAATATAGGTGGTTTTTTTTTTTTTTCCCCCTGCAAATTCCTTTTTTAGAGTATGCAAACAGACACACACAGCAGTGGGTTTGAAGCAGAAACAGTATCCAAGTCTAAATGTCATCTGATCATCCTCTCCCCAAATTACATTAAGATCATTTAAATTACTAGCTATCTCTTTTCCCTCCCCGAATCCCACTCTGTAAGAATGACTCGTTAGATTATAATTCTGTTTTCACCATATGAATGTTTGTCTTGAGAGGATTGGAACTCAGTAGTGACCAAGACCTTCAGCCTGCAATCACCACATTTTTATTTTATTTTATTTTATTTTATTTTTTTTATTTAGAAACAGGGTTTCACTCTTGTTGCCTGTGCTGGAGTGCAATGGCATGATCTCAGCTCACTCCACCTCCCACGTTCAAGTGATTCTCCTACTTCAGCCTCCCAGGTAGCTGGGATTACAGGCGCCTGCCACCATGCCCGGCTAATTTTTGTATTTTTAGTAGAGATTGGATTTCACCATGTTGGCTAGACTGGTCTTGAACTTCTGACCTCAGGTGATCTGCCCTCCTCAGCCTCCCAAAGTGCTGGGATTACAGGCATGAGCCACCACACCCAGCAATCACCCCATTTTTAAAAGGAGTGAAGTGAACAAAGTTGTTTGAAGAAGGTTTCCTTCTTCATTATCTTTTTATTAAAGGAAACACGGTGATGCCTTGGTACATCATTTCTCAAATAAAAGGCAGTATGAAGAGGGAATTGCATGTTATGGTTAGA